CACCTCCGGTAAAATAAATTTGTATTTCCGATTAAAGTACAATTATTTTGTCCGTGCAGTTTGGGTCATAAAAAATCGGAGCGGTGAAGCGAGTATTTCGCTCTCTCTTCCACTCATGAGCCTAATGGACGGGCATAGTGATGCGCATTATTGTTGTCGATAAGCGTTATCGATAGCGTATTTAGTTTTGTCATTTTTTGGGTTAGTGATAAAAATGAAAGGAAAAATCACTAATTGAACACTTACACCACATATCGCCGCAGCAAGTTAACGAGAACGGCAGAAATTAACACGGTCACTTTTCGGGATCTATTCTTATTTCAGTGAAAAATTTTAACACATTGTTGATAACAACAAGTGCAAATATTATTTTGAATAAATTCTGCCGTTTTGATACAAAACAAAGAAGTAGCCATTGTATCACTAAAGAAATTCAGAGAACGAATGCATAAAAACACATTTCTCTTCGACATAATATACTATAATTTGCAGGTAAGAACAAATAACTCATAACATAACAATGTCTCACCACCCTTCGTATACCACCCCGCCGCCGTGTACCTGCCTTCGATAACTCATTTGTATTTATCGATAAGGGCGTTGCGCCCGCGCAACATGCTCACCGCCCTAGCCGGGCTATGTTTTATGACCCAAACTGCACGGACAAAATAATTCTACTATAGTAGATACGTACATACCTTTCATCATTCATTGCATTTATTAGGCATGTCAATATTTTAAAGCTGAAGAAGAGCATGTTTTTTTGTACGTTTGTTTGAAGGCGCTAATGTCATTATTTCTGTTCTCTACTGGTTCGAATAGATTTTTTTTTAGTTTAGCTAAGTTCTAAAAAAGTTGGGTAGCCGAGGAAGGTTATAGGAATAAGTTATATATCATATATTTATCATATAGTATGATTTGGTTATACCTAGTCAGGTCATAAGTATTGTCACACAGTAAAAACTTTTCTTTCAGAATGCTGGCCACAAAAAAGTTTATTGAATTCGAATTTCGAATTGTTCATGAAAATAAAAATAATATACATTTAGAATTTTACTCATTTTTAAATATGGAGTGGACGCTTAAAGAAGACCGTGTTGCAGTTATTGCGTTGCATCGTTGCGGTTACGCGCCAATTCAAATTTTTAACATACTGAAAAATTTGAATACAACCAAAAGATTCGTTTATCGTACCATCAAACGATACAATGAAGNTTGCAGTTCTCTTTACGGAGTTCAGAAACGACCTGTGGCAAACAAATGCTAGCATACCATTCTGCATTAACCGTTCTTTGTCCCTCAAGAGGAATAGTCGTAACATGGCCGGTTTTGGAGACAAACGTGGCCACCATTTTTTTTGCAACACTCCGTGAACGAACAATTTTTGTTGGCTTTAACTCATTTTCGAACACCCAAACTCGTGCCTGGTTTTTTGTTTCAGGTTCGTACGCGTATATCCAGGATTCGTCACCTGATACAATGTTGTATACAGCATTTGAGGATCCTGCGTGGAATCTTTCGAGAGTTCTGACGCACCAAGTAATGTTTTCGGGAAAACAACTTTTTTACACCTAATTGTTGATGCAAGATTATTTGTATTTGACTCATGCCAATGTCTAAAGTTGCCTGAATTTCGCGGTATGTCACATGTCGATCTTCCTCAATCAGCTTACGCACAGCATCAACGTATTCTTGGGTGACTGCAGTTTTTGGACGACCTTCACGGGGATCATCATCACTGAGCTTGACACGTCCACGTTGAAACTCAGCAAACCAGCGATAAATTGTGGTTTTGGATGGGGCTTCATCATCAAATGTAGAAATCATCCGGTCAACACACTGTTTTTGTGTTAAACCACTTCGAAAGTCATAATAAATCATCGCTCTTGAATTTTCTCGAGGCAATTCCATTTTCTCAACGACTAAACAAGTTTGACAAAATCTCGTGACAAGACCGAGAATCTTTTTTTAAATAAATAAATGGTATTCAAATCAAATCAAATCAAATCAAATCAAATCAAAAAAAATTTATTCAACATAAATGAATTTCGATTTTTAAAACCAAGGAGTTTTCAATTAAAAAGATTTTAATATGACAGGAACAGTGGAAATATTCCATTCCCGATACTTTTAGTGCAGCCCTCGTAACTGTTGTACATTAAAACCTCTTCATAATGAAATTATAGTTTTGTTATTTTATTTCAAATGTTACAATAAAAAAGGCAAAGTCCCTTTTTATCTCAAAAGACGCCTGGAGTTCGCTCGTGATAACATATTGGCTCCCTGTTTTCTGATGAGACGTAAAATTAATGATGGCAGTGAATTGATTCTTCCTTCACTGCATTCGTTTGTAGAACACACCTCCGGTAAAATAAATTTGTATTTCCGATTAAAATAGAATTATTTTGTCCGTGCAGTTTGGGTCATAAAAAATCGGAGCGCTGAAAAGAGTATTTCGCTCTCTTTCACTCACGAGCCTTAATGGACGGGCATAGTGATGCACATTATTGTTGTCGATAAGCGTTATCGATAGTGTATTTAGTTTTGTCATTTTGTGGGTTAGTGATAAAAATGAAAGAAAAATCACTAATCGAACACTTGCACCACATATCGCCGCAGCAAGTTAACGAGAACGGCAGAAATTAACACTGTCACTTTTCGGGATCTATTCTTATTTCAGTGAAAATTTTTAACACATTATTGATAACAACACGTGCAAATATTATATTGAATAAATTCTGCCGTTTTGATACAAAACAAAGGAGTAGCCATTGTGTCACTAAAGAAATTCAGAGAACGAATGCATAAAAACACATTTCTCTTCGACATAATGTACTATATTTTGCAGGTAAGTACAAATAACTCATAACATAACAATGTCTCACCACCCTTCGTATACCACCCCGCCGCCGTGTACCTGCCTTCGATGACTTATTTGTATTTATCGATAAGGTCGTTGCGCCCGCGCAACATGCTCACCGCCCGCTCAACATGCTCACCGCCCTAGCCGGGCTATGTTTTATGACCCAAACTACACGGACAAAATAATTGTACTATAGTACGTAGGCACAACCTTTCATCATTCATTGCATTTATCAGGCATGTCAATATTTTAAAGCTGAAGAAGAGCATTTTTTTTTGTACGTTTGTTTGTTTGAAGGCGCTAATTTCATTATTTCTGTTCTCTACTGGTTCGAATAGAATTTTTCTTAGTTTAGCTAAGTTCTAAAAAAGTTGGATAGCCGAGGAAGGTTATAGGAATAGGTTATATATCATATATTTATCATATAGTATGACTTGGTTATATATCATATGATCAATAGGACAGGAGTTTATTTTAAAATGTTGCAAAAACTGGGATATTTTATTCCTTTTGAGAGTTTCCATTGGGTGCGTCGCGAAAATGGTTAGCTACGCAACAATCATGTTTGATCGAATTGTTCCTCTTAAAAAGTTCCAAAAATTGTTCCTAAAATAGCGTATTTCGCCTAGGTACCTTTTTAGGATCGATCATCATACCAATTTTTTTTTTAATCGCAATAAAATAATAATATGTTCTAAAATAATCCATTCATGGCCAAGGACTTTTTTATGAACATTGTGCTAATCAAATGCAGATACCTAAATTATTCATCACAAGTATTTAATTTCGAACAAAATCGTTCCTTACATTTTTTATTTTTTTATTGCTTAGATGGATGGACGAGCTCACAGCCCACCTGGTGTTAAGTGGTTACTGGAGCCCATAGACATATCTACAACGTAAATGCGCCACCCACCTTAAGATATAAGTTCTAAGGTCTCAGTATAGTTACAACGGCTACCCTACCCTTCGAACCGAAACGCATTACTGCTTCACGGCGGAAATAGGTGGGGTGGTGGTACCTACCCGTGCGGACTCCCAAGAGGTCCTACCACCAGTGATTACGCAAATTATAATTTTGCGGGTTTAATTTTTATTACACGATGTTATTCCTTCACCGTAGAAGTCAATCGTGAACATTTGTTGAGTACGTATTTCATTAGAAAAATTGGTACCCGCCTGCGTGATTCGAACACCGGTGCATCGCTACACACGAATGCACCGGACGTCTTATCCTTTAGGCCACGACGACTTCCATACATAATTCCGACTTACATAATTTGATTTCAATGAACATTTCTGCTTAAATAACAGTTTAAACTGGTTTCGTCTTATTTTAAATTTATGCAGGTACAATTATTCTCCAGACGTGGTTCGTAGATAAAACAAAGNGAAATATTACTAAACAATTACGAGCGACTAGCGATTTTACAAAAGTTGCGAATAAAAAATTAAGTAAGTACTTGCGGGAAACTACCGGCTGGCCGCATGAAAAATATAAACACAAATACCTATATTAAAATTCAGACGTACCATAGGTATAAAAATGTACCTAGCGGCCAGGACATACGGTTCCAAATCACTAGGAATAATTCCGTGTCGCTTGCTCATTTATTTTGCGTCGATCGGTCTGTCTCCCTCGCTCGGTTCCGTTCGTGTATTAAGCAACATTACACGACAAAGAAAGAAACATGTTGGGTGATGGTGTGATGTTTGTTTCCTTCGCGTAATGTGTGATGTTGCATTACATCGTAGAGTAATATTACCCGAGTAATATCACTCGCATTACTTACACATGTCTAATGGATAGTTTTGGGATGTTATCAATTAAGTAATTTATTTTTTTGGAAAACAATGCCAGGTTGAAAGAAATGTTGATACATAAACTAAACAACGTGAAAAAATAAGGCATAGTTTTTCAAGTACAAATAGTTTTGACATAAAGTTGGCCCACTTTTGGGCATTGTCCTTTACTATTTATTTTATCATATTGACTTTCAATTGTATCTGTAAACTTTTATAATACTCTGTAAATAATTTGACGCAAATTTACTGATTTTTCTAAGCAAACTGAAACATATTATGTATGTTGCAGGTACTGCTCTGTAACTTGAATGCACCGTAAATAAAACACATATTATGAATGAAAATACTACTATATTGATGAACAGATACAAAAAATGTTTCCGCACAATACGATCTCATAATCAGGGTATACAAAAATATCAAGTACCTACATTATATACAATACAATTTTGTGCATAAAACGTGGAGATTTTTTTTGCATTAATATTCATTTATTAATTTTAATATTAAAATAATTAGAATATTTAGTTGTAAACAAGCAAAATCACGATTTTATTATATATTTTCAAACAAATTTCAAATGGTACAGTACACAACCGAAGTTTTAGGCAGTATAAAAAAGCATAATTTCATTGGCACTGTAAAAAAAGGGTGTAAATATATATGCGAATGATAATATTACATTGCAAAAAAAGCGTGTAACCATTCGTAAGCATATCCAAACTAAATTTACGAGAGAACAAAAAATCTGTATATAGCGACAAATTTTCACGTGTTTTATTTCCAACCAGTAATAATTTTAGTTATAAATTACTCGATTTAACAATACGCAGCTTTAATACTTTATTATTGTCATGAATTTTGTACGTACATTCGTATGTCGGCTACATTTATTTTTTAGTTTAATACTCAGTAAGTTTGGTTCAATTTATCCGATTCATTCGCCCACAATAATAAATCGGTATTTTCTGAGCACGTGCAGTGTACTGCTCTGATTTTTTAAAGTGAAAAGACATGCATATTGCGACACTAACAAAAATACAATTTATCAATTACGAAAAATATTATGCATTTTCTACATTAATTTCATACATATAAAACCTTTACTATAGATACTATTTGTATAAACGTTAATTATCCGTCAGAGCCATTTATGTTTGCAACGAAACTTCCGCACTTAATGTATATTATAATAATATAAGGTTTCAATTAAAAAAGGCAGTCTCAAAGCACTGCTTTTTAACGAGATTTGATCGCGACGTAGAATCGTAACATTGAAATAAAAATTTCGGATTTTTAACAATCATCAGATCAATTTAGCTTCAATTGATTCTCAGGCGTACTTCGTAAAAACAATATACGTTGTACAAACATACAGCTTACGCCTATAAAAGGCAAGAAACTAAATAAATACTGACTTCTTAAAATCACTTGATATAATATAATGACTCCATAATACATTTCGTTTCATTCTATAATTTAATAACCTATATAGAAAACAATACATGATATAAATAAACCTTATTTAAATGACAACTAGGTATATATCGAGTGGTATATAGGTATATATCGGAAAGGCTGTTTTTGCAACTTTATAAGAGCTATTTAAAGTTTAAAACTTAAAAAAAAAAACGTCAAAAAAAAAACTTCTTCAGCTCTTTGAATATCGTAAACATAATTGAAGTTTAAATAAAGATATCGTACTGTTGATACTTATACTAATACCAAATAAAACGGACCTTTAATTACAAAGATATATGTCGCGTATTAACCAAAATATCTCTTAAACTAAATACCACACGATATATAATTATTAGATAATACGTTCCATAAAAGCTGACTTCCACTTGATTTTCAACTTATAAATAAAATATTCCAAACATTGAATATTATTGCACGAAATACGTATGAAATATGGATCAAATAATTTAGGAGAATAAATACATTAAAAAAGCTAAAAAAAATTGAAGAAAATCAATCACACAGCCTTTGTTGCTGGTGCATTTAAAACAAAGAAGCAATAGATTAAAAAATGATAATGTAATTTCATTAAAATATACAGTAATGTACTGTATAAAAATTATTTTTATCATATAAAAAAACCCAGCAAAAGCATTGAAATTTTATAAACAATTTTCGGCACAAAAAAATAGGTAAATTCGTTCAGGTAATATACTTAAAAACTACTTGGCATGATTTAAGAGTATAAAATAATATAATAGTAAAAACATTTAAATATCTTACTACTGAGAGGTCTGTGATTTTGTGATACGTTTGGCACCCCTATTCGGAGGGCCTTTAGGTTTGGCAAAAGCTGGACGGTGTAAGTTTCTCTTCGGATGTATTTCATCATATAGATATTCTTCGGTCAGTTCTTTGCCATCGTCGATTTCCAACTGTAAAAAAAAAAAATTTCTTTACTTTATACATTTAATGATAAAAGTATGAAAGGGGTGTGTAAGTCTGGCTCCCCAGTGCTACTGGTTTGGCTCGCATAATTACTCATGTGTATTAATCACCTTCATTATATGTGTCAAGTATTACAAAAAAATAATAATACTAATAGTGGTGGGACCAAAAAGTTTGAGAGCCTGTGATAGGCATAAAAATAATTATTGTACTTATGTAATGACAAAAAACAATGATGTACCAAAATAAAAAAAGCCGAATTATTTCATATTCTATAAATTAATCATTTATGTAACGATTGCAACATAATATTAATGTATACATTTAATGTTTTCCCGAGGCTGAATTGTTCCTACATTTTGAGGACCTTTTATAATTTTTACATAGGTAACCGTTTTCTATTCACGGTAATACAATTCGTGTGAATATTCAACAAAACCAAATTAAGTAAAACGTTTACAGCAATGAAGCTTCCTAATGAGTTAATTTAATACTTAAGACTTACGGAGGGTTGTCATAATTATTAATGGCATGTTAATAAGGACGGCGCCTCACTATCCTGTCATTAAATATCGATGAACTTTAGACAGTGCGTTAGCATTTTTTGTATTATATGTATTTGTTTTTTTTTACTTATTGCCTCTTTAGGCAGACGAGCATACGGCCCACCTGATGGTAAGTGGTTACCTTCGCTCATGGACGCCAGCAATGCCAGAGGCAGAGTCAAGTTGCCGTTTAATACTCTCCACAATGTATTTACATGTAAATTTCTAGATTCTATTAAAGTTTTATGGATAAGGAATTAGTGGTAGCATCTGTGTATCATCATCACAACAGCGGAGTCACAGGGAGTACGACGACAAAAACAACTAACTCACTCTTTTTGTTATTTCGACGCCCATTTTCTCTATGATTTCTAAGAACTGCCCTTTGCAACTTGAATACATCATTCGCTCTTTTATACTACAGTTGTAGCCGGGCATTGAGTAGATGAATACTGAAACAACAATGAAGAGTATTAGTTGATTCTTCAACGATTTTTACATTTTCACAGGGATCAGTTTCTTTTTGTGCTCACAGCCCACCTGGTGTTAAGTGGTTGCTGGAGCTCATAGACATCTACAACTTAAATGCGCCACCCACCTTGAGATATAAGTTCTAAGGTCTCAAGTATAGTTACAACGGCTGCCCCACCCTTCAAACCGAAACGCATTACTGCTTCGCGACAGAAATAGGCAGGGCGGTGGTACCTACCCGCGCGGACTCACAAGAGGTTCTACCACCAGTAATATTTTCAAGGAGCTTCCGCATTCACATTTATAAGTCAAGTATATTTCGTTGAAACTATATACAAGTAAACACGATATTATCTTGATACCTGTACTGTCCATGTGATCTCCCTCGTGCGTGTGTGTGAATATGTAAAGGTGATATCTGGCTTGATCATTGGGAACTTGGAGAGGTAATTCTTCTAATAATATCTTTGACGCTTTCGATAAGTTAATCTTTTCTTCTTCTAAATCTGAAAATTAAGATGCTGAGTCAAAGACAACAGGCAGATGGTATAAGAAAGTATGAATAAAATTATGCACCAGATAAGAACTCATGGTCAATTCTATCTATTAGCGGCATCTCCAATCTAATAACCTACTTAGAATCTAACAACCTACCCTCAGACTTACAGAAAATATATGTTTATGTGTTAATGTTATTTATTTTGAAACTTGGAAATCATCTCCTCACTTTGGGAACAATTATTTACTATTTACATAATTATTTATTATGGAATGTTATTAAGCTCCACATAATATAGAAAATAATTCAACCGCAGTGGTTTTTGGTTTCTGTTTAACCATATGATTTTGTATTATATGTTGTCATGATATCAGTTGATTCAAAAGTGATTAATTAATATAGAATAATAAATAACTTTAATTTTCTTTAGTGAAATTAGTTACTTTCTCATCGTAAAATGTTTTTGTTGGTTGACGTAGGACGAACAAATATTATAAAAGGTGTAACTTGAACCCGGAGCTTAGTTTGCTTTGGAGAAATGAAATTGTAAATTAAAAAGTGATTACTGCTGTGTTTTATTGCTAAAATTCCCAGTTTAAAAATAACTACACTCCTAGAGTTCGCTTTGTGGAATAATTAGCAGAACCAATGACCAGAATAAGGCCAGCAGTTCTCCGTGTTTTTTTTTAAATCATTGCTCTGCTCATTTTCACACACACACACACACACACACACACACACACACACGCACGCACGCACGCACGCACGCACGCACGCACGCACGCACGCACGCACGCACGCACGCACCCACGCACACACACACACACACACACACACACACACACACACACACACACACATATATACATTTTAATAACCTTCAAGCTGAGAAAGAGTGGTGAAGTTTTAATTGTCAAATAATCCGTCATTTTCTGCATTTTTACCACTAATTGTCACGATTTTCGGCTTGGATGGGACATGTTCTGTTATGCTACTAATATTATAATTGAAAAGTTTGTGTAGATTAATGAAAGTTTTTCACACTTTCACGCAAAAACTACCAGAGGGATTTTGATCAAACTTCAAAATAACGAATAGGCTATAATAAATACTATTTAGACACTATATACCCTTAACTGTATAGCCTCAAGATTCACATATTCGAAAACAAATCTTACCTATTCTAAATTGTAAATAATTATAGGAACCTCTTTGGAGATCAACTATTCCTTGCTTAGCGGCTTCTGTTATCGGAAAGGCTACACCACCCATTGTTGATTGCCTGAAAAATACAATTATTTTAATGTTATGTTGTACTTGCAAATATTCTTAGCAGTTGGCGGGTTGTCGAGACAAAACCAATCTTATGTGTACAAACATAGCTCACATTTTCCATTATCCATATGGTTTTTTTTTTGATACTCCAGGAAAATACGAGCTTGCTTGTGGTCTACGTTCGTACATACGTACGGTTTGGTTAACATATTTTAGAACATAAGTTGCGTCCGCCAGAAGTCTTACAATGGCCGGTTCACTTTTTTTTCCTACCTATGCCGATAGCCTTGAGGGGCTATATCAGCGGTACCTTAGCGTGTAGTGTAGATGAGNCCATATGGTATTTTTTTTTGATACTCCAGGAAAATACGAGCTTGCTTGTGGTCTACGTTCGTACATACGTACGGTTTGGTTAACATATTTTAGAACATAAGTTGCGTCCGCCAGAAGTCTTACAATGGCCGGTTCACTTTTTTTTCCTACCTATGCCGATAGCCTTGAGGGGCTATATCAGCGGTACCTTAGCGTGTAGTGTAGATGAGATCTCGGGACTCAAACCGGGGGTCCCGGCCTAGCACTGGCCCTAGCAAGAGTAGTACTTCGCAGAATCTGCCACCGAATCGGAAACGTGACCCACTGAGAAGATCCGGCGAGAAACTCAGTGGGCTGTGTCTGAGGGTTAATTTACTCATCGAGCCCTTCGTCGCAAGCGACGAGTTCGGTGAGGACGGTGACCGGAGCCGGTTCACGAACTTTACTTATCTTTTTGGAATCTCTTTTGTTTATTGTCTCTGTAGGCAGACGGCCCACCTGATGGTGAGTGGTCACCGTCACGCATGGACGTCAGCAATGCCAGGGGCAGAGCCAATCCGCTGCCTACCATTAGACTACTATATTATTACTGTCTAAGTACATTTACAATTTTACCTGGCATCAACCCCATAGTTGGTGTTATGTTCGCTTTCTTGCAACTCTTTCAAGGCTTCCTCTCTATCCGTGAGCGGGGCGGGGGCACTCACTCCGCTCAAATGCGCCTTGTAGCCTTTCAGAGAGACTTCTTCCTGTAAAAAGGTTTTAATGGATTTATTTTCTTCAATTTTAAATCACGTAAACGTTAAGAAAAAGTATCTTTAAACATATACGGTTTTTGTAGCAATGTGTTCATGTAGCATGATTCAATTTGTTCAGATATTAAGACTTCTTTTGTCTCCAGAATTGATCTGTTAAATTAGTGTTATTAAAGTAAAGAGCATCATAGACAAGATTTAAACTAGAATGGTCTTTTTGACAACTGGAGATTACGTTTATTTTATTTTTTGTGTTAGTTATGATATTTATGGAAAGAGCTGGATGAGAGAAGCCGAGGGTCGTGCTCAGTGGCGTGCAGTTGAAGAGGTCTATGCCCTGCAGTGGGCTGCTGTAGGCTGATGATGATGATGATGATTGATGATAACAGAGTAGACTGTGGTCGCAATTCGACTTATTCGTATCAACAACTTAAATATAAGTTTTAACACTAAAAGTCCGACTGGATGGCGGGACTTTTGTGAGTTTTTTGTGGGTTTCTGTGAGTTTGGTGGTCCGGGCTGTTTGCGAAGAGAGTATAGAACTGATATGAACACTCATTTGGATAATTTTAATGGAATAAAATTTGGATGATTTTAATAGAAAAGCGACACAATAACTAAAATAAAACAAAAGGAGTTCAGAACAGTACAGACAAGCTAAGATTGACAATATTTTGCATGTCGTCTTGGGGGTGTAAGACGGCGGCGGGGGCAGTATCGCACGTTCCGATATTTGGTTCCGTTATAAAATTATATATTTTAGTAATATCAATGGCGGCACCCACAGCATTAATATTTTTGACAATGATATTTTTATTACATAAGCTTTGAGTGTTCCTCCATTTTACCTATGGCAATTGGCTTCTTACGACGTCACTGTTTGCCATTGTCAAGTTCTTAAAATGTTTGATAGTTAAAAAAATATGGACATATTCTGTGAAATGATATGATGTTGATTAATTTGGGACTTTAATCAATCGGGATGAAATTAAATGAAACGAGATATGATGAAATAAAGTCCCAGTAAAACGGTGGTTACTTATCGCGACTTTTTCAGTTAACTTATTGTAAGCTACGTCCAGCGGCTTTGTATCATTGCCCCAACTTGGCCACTTTCAAATATGGTAAACAGTTAATAAGCTACCGTTATTATAAATATTAAACCTGAAGAAATACCAAATTAACAAAATAAAGGAAATTCACAAGATTTCGCTCCTCGCACTCTCGTCAAAAAACCCTTTCGATGTTCTATATCAAAATAATATTATTATGAAACGGTTCGTGAAACTGCATTTGCCGTCATCTAAATTTTATGCGATTATCCATTATTGCTCCTACAATTTATTTATTTTGTTCATGCCAATATATTTTTTTCTTTTTAGAGTTTTGAGTACCTTAACAGTTGCATGCATCTCGTCTTTAATATGGGCGGAGCCAAATTCTTGTTTCAATGTGGCTTTCGTTGAAGCATATAACATTTTCTGCCTAACGGGTGCACTATCTGGGGACCAACTCAACAGCAACCATTCGTGACCAAGGGAATTTTTTGAATCAAACCTGAAAAAAATGAATAATTTTTTTTTGATGCGTTATGTGTTATTGAGGTTCTTGAGGTTGACGTTCGAGTGATGTCCAGTATCGGAGTCATTTGGACAGCAAAACCAGGTTAGCATCAGAAATGCCGTGACTACTCAAGTGGATCTATGGAGGGACTTCGATTCTCTCTGTACTTTGTACCGTGTGTTACATCGGAAGCGCATCCTCATCATCTCATTTTTACCATGGCACTGCTTGCCACACGAGCAGAGTTCATTCTTACTATTTAAAAAAAAGTATTCCAACCACTGCGTTCATCGAGAGCGCATTTCCAGAGATATTTTCTGCCACGTACCATCTGGCTTAGGAATAAACTCCCCTACACAGTGTTTCCTGGGCGCTATTACATGCCTTTCTTCAAACAAGATTTGTGGAGAGTAGTTTAAGGTAGTAAGCGACGAGGCTGTGCCCCGGTGGGTTGGTGAATATGTGCGACAGTAACGACTCATCATCAGGTACGCCAGGTAATAAAAAAAAATAAGTTATAAAACAGATGTGGTGTCGTGGGACACCAGGTAGGAACGAAGTTCCTTTGGCTAATGTAGAAAGAATTATGAGAAAAAAATCGCGCGGTGAAATATCGCTGTGCGGAAAACAAGGCCTTATTCTTACGCATCACTTCCTACTTCTTACTTTTTCTTACAGTTTTTACTATCACATTTTTTCAGTTCGGTCGCGCAGCAAAATCCCTATGTCCTCCAAGCCTGCCATAAGGAACTTCGTTTCAATAATTTCCGTAAGAAAACACATTTGATGAAAATCATTGAAATATTTGTTTTTACCTATATAATATATAACAAGGTTGATCTTCCTCAATCAATGATGGTACATATTTATCAAAATCATGCTCCCATGTTCCTTTTGTGAAAAAATGCTTAGCCATTGTCATCTGTTCTGAAAATCCACACAGCATATAATGCATTCAATACTCTTTAACAATTTACTAGTTATCAAATCATAAAATTCATGTAGCTTAGTCATATTTTATTAAATAAGTAGAGTTGAATTTGAATCACATAGTCCTCTGACCCGAACTAGGTTTCCTTGTATTATAGGAATCAAAAGCTGATAAATATAATTATAATATAACATGGAGAACATGAACATACACAAATATTTGCCTGACATAGGAATTGTTTGATGATGACTGAGCAGTGCTATGGCACAAAGTCAATAAAAAATAAAATTTAATGTATAATATGTGATTGTCATTTCAATTTACTAGGCATAAGAATCTCTTCAGATTTGATAAAATAGGGTAAAGAGACATCTACCACACGTCTCCGCAAGATCATACTCATATAAATAAATAAATAAATAAATATCTTGGAATTCATATGGACTGTACCATTGTCCAGTATCTGGAAAAGAGTGGAAGGCAAAAAGTTTTCATTGCCCAAGCCTATGTTTTTTTTCATGTTAATATAAGTCATAAATAAGAAGACACCTACCATTTTCAATAGTGACTTTTAAAACACGAAGTTTACTATCCCGGCATTTGCTGATGTACTTCTTTAACTCAGCATTTGCTGAAATAAAATAGAAAGGATTTAGTTAGTTTGTTTTCTCTTATTCTGATGAATCTAATATGAGCTGAATTCAACCAGTACAATATCCAGCAGTCAGAAATAGAATATACACAAATCATGCTGACACCATCTATAGGAGCTATGCTAACATTAAGTCCAAAGAAACAGCTTATCCATTTAAATTTTGGTTAGCATCATTTAGATCGCATTGAAATATACTGTGATATATTTTTTTATAGTAATTTCTGCTCATGCCCTGGGCTGGTGTGCTGGGTATGTTAGTTTGTTGTGATGGTGCATTTACAATTTTTGCACTGGTTTTATTAACTTTAATTATTTTATATCTATTATTAGAAATAATCTTTGAGGTTTGCTTTTACCGTGCCAAGAATTTAATGTTAGTTAATCATCACATTAGTGGCATCAACCATATTATTGCAAATTATGACAACAGTGTCAGTGTTAGTAGTGTCAAAGAGGTTTTCTTTCGCATAAAAATTTTACATGTCCCAGAATGAACCAATGTGTAATTTTAAATGCCATTAAGGATAAGTATATCCTTTTGATGTTAAGTGGTTGCCAAAGTTTAATCACATTTCTACATATTTTCTACAGTATAAAAATGTGAAAATAAAACACAAATCTCATAATTAAAAGAAAAGTGTCAATTCTCAAATCACCTCATATCAGCACCACTAAACAAACACTGATATGTTCAATAAACTATAATCCAGTATTAATAGATAATACAGTAAACTATAAGCATAATCCAATCATAAAAGTGAGTGTATGTATGTAAGATGATGGATTTCTGAAAATTCTAAAAAATCTCTCATTTAAATTGTTCACATAAGGTATTTTGTAATACATGTGACAAATACAATAACAAATCACATCAAATATATGGATTAGTCTGAAATTAGTTATTGGTCACAGAAGATTACATACTCGTATAATATGTCTTATGTCAACCTCAATTATTTCAGCTTGTTTTTAATATTGAGTCGTTAAGTTAAAAGAAAACTATCTTTCCATTTCAGTAACAATCAAAATTTGTATTTTATACACTAACATGATAAACGGATTCAGTCATTGATGATGTACATTGAAGTTTATTTTTAGATTCTTAGAAATATTTTATGAATTCAGATGTATTAAAGAACTATATTATATCATGTATAACCAGATCATAATAGAATGACATGGATCAACCATACCGACTTGGAGTTTATACGATCTTCAGAATTAAGTGAAAGTTATGGAAATATAATCTTACTTTATTTAAGAAATTTGCTTAAAAAATACATCACTTAACTTGAGGTTAACTGTCAATGCTGTCCGAGGTCATCAACAAAACTATGTCAATCATATTTAGTTAATCGATTATAGATTATATGGTTCATGAGTTTTCTAAAAATTATTTTTTACACATTTAGACAAATTGACAAATAACTGTATTTTGTATTTTGCTATTTTCCTACACCCACCTTGAATACCTGTTTGGTGCGACATTATAAATATACGTACAGCTTTCTAATATATTATAATTATTACTTAAAAAAACTATTAATAAAATAATATATGCGAATAATTGTAAAAAACTTAAATATCTAATTTAGAAGTATGCGCCACTTGCCGAAATTTTCAATGTCAATTTGAGTTTCTGACAATCAACTGACAATTGACAATCTGAATAGTTCTATTTTTCCAACTGGAAAGGCAAGAGTATCTCACCATACAAGCTATTCTTTTATAATATAATAATAATATATTATGTACATTTTTTTATGAAAAATTATAATATTGAGTATAATGAATTAAATGATATTAATCAATTTGAAATATTAAGCAATTGGCATGAAATAAAATGAAACGATATGGGATAAAATACACTCTCAGTAAAACGGTGATTATTTATTGAGATTTTTATTGGTCTTTTGAGAGGATCCCGAGAAGCTACGTCCAGCGGCTTTGTTTCATTTTCCCACATTTGTGCACTTTCACAGATATCAAACAGTTAATAAACCACCGTTATTAAATCTGAAGAAACACTAAATAGACAAATTAAAACAATTCACATAACTTCACTCCTCGCGTTCCCGCCAAAAAGTCATAATCTGAGTTAATTTCAGTAGCTTCGGTTGTCAGTTATTTTTGTAGTATTTCCATTTTTATAAGTATTATAAGTGAAGATATCAGACCATACAGGCTTATCTTTTATCTATGAAGTTGATTTATCCGGGACTGCAATCAATTGAGGTGGAATGAAATGATAAGTTGAGATAGGCTGAAATATAGTCTTATTAAAATGGTGACTAGATCAGCAAACATCCGCAAAAAAACCCAAAAAGCCAGGTCAAGCGACTTCATTTTTGTACATTTGTGCGTTTTTACGATTGCTAATTATTTATTAATTTATTTTATACTTAGATGGGTGGATGAACTCACAGCCCACCTGATTTTAAATGGTTACTGGAGCCCGTAGAAATCTACAACGTATGTGCGCCACCCACCTTGAGAAGTTACAATCGACATACAACATAGCAGAATAATTAAGCCAACGTCCATTCCATGTCGAAAAAACCGGTTCTCGTCTCATCACCGAAGTCAAGCAAATTCGAGTGTAGTCTGTACTTGGTATTGACCATGCCCTACGTAGTACACTGTACAGTATCCATCGATATTAACACAGCGAAAAGCACAGCTGTGCACTTTCCACTGCATTTATCCTTGACAGACTTTATCCTATGCAGGCGGAGTAAAATGTAATAAGGTTTACCAAACTTGAATACGGCGTATTGCGTGTGTGGTTTGTCGCTCACGCGGCCCGTACCCACCTAGATGCCCTTCAGGCCTTCAATCCAGTTTTTTCAGGGTGCTTCAATAAGGCGTCATGATAATCGATTCATCGTTGCCGCCGCTGACTATTTCCTAACTCTAGCTCTCGGAGGAGCCAGTCACCGTCAACGCCATAGACACATCCTTACGGGTCCATTCTCCTCCCTCCGTTAGAAGTTTGCAGCTCTAACACCAGGAGCAGGCATAGGGATCCTGGTAACCGTACTACTGCCAAACTTACATCACCACGCTCAGTATTATTATTATTATTTTATTGCCCTTGTAGGCTGACGAGCATATGGCCCCAGATACCTGATCGTGAGTGGTTACCGTCGCTCATGGACTTCAGCAATGCCAGGGGCAGAGCCAAGTCACTGCCTGTTTCCCGCTGAATCTTCTCAGCGGGTCGCGATTCCGATCCGGTGGTAAATGCATTCGCGAAGCAACTGCCCTTGAGTTGTTAGGCCTTCTTCGGAGGCGCTCGGGCAGCTGTTATCAAATCCCGCCCCTCCTGGCTGAGCTCGTGCTCGCCCGTCTGTCCTGCTAAAACTGGAAAAGCCTCCAGGCCAGCAGTACTAAATCTATCTATATATATATAAAAAATGAATTGCTGTTCGTTAGTCTCACTAAAACTCGAGAACGGCTGGACTGACTTGGCTAATTTTGCTCTTGAATTATTTGTAGAAGTCCAGAGAAGGTTTGAAAGATAAATATGAAAATGCTCGAAATTAAATAAAAATAACAATTTTGTTTTCCCTTTCAAGTGTCCCCGGTCGGACGGATTCTTTTTGTTTGTTTTGAGTTTATTTTATACAAAAGGTTAGGTCTTTTATTTATCGACTGAGGCACTACGAAGTCTGCCGGGTCAGCTAGTCATTTAATAAAAATGGATAATTAAACGATTACATCAAATTCAAAGTAGGAGTAGAAATTTAGGAAAGCCAGGTAGGTAAGGTTGTAGGTAGTTGGATGTGTATAGCATAAAAAAGGTTAGAAATGTTTGGAAGAAACCTACAATTATCTTTGATGGTTTAAGGTTAAACAAAGGAGAGAAGTGAAAGAATTAAACATGAAACGTTTTTTAATTAGTCAAATGCTTTCATTATGAACGACAATTAAAGTCCACACCAAATGAATTTTAGCAAAAGTGGTACACAAATTACAATTTTGTTTGTAAATACGAATTGTACAAACAATTCCCCCTTATATCTAATTAGTAAATGAAAACAGTCCTACATACGTTTACGGTTTGATTCACGTTCCTCATAACGTACAAACACAATCTGGATTCGGTGCTGAGGACTTGTTTTAGTCCATTCTGTGTGTAAATAAACATCAGTCGATTTCAGCCGTAGCCATGCTCAGTGGCTGAAATGTACTTAAAATAATACAACGTAACATAGGTAGCTTTAATGTTTCGAGTGCCAAGCTTTAATGTTTTGAAGGATCTTTTGATTGATGGATAATTATTTGTCTCGTCATAAATCGGGTCACACATTTGAAGACTATAGCCCCTCAAACGGGAAAGCTACTTCACAGCAGAAATGGAATGGTTATACCTAGTCTTGCGCGCTCACTATAAGCTCTATTACTGTCAAAGTTGAGAAGGTCATCATTGTCTTCAAATCTGTTAAATGAGTCTATAGATCTTTTTTTAATTATTATTCGGTATTTAAATGCCAACACCCATCTTGAGACATGAATATAAAGTCTCAGTTCAATATTAAAACGGTCCCACTCTTCAAAACACAATCCATTCCTGCTTCGGGCAGAAATAGGCAGAGTGATGGTACCTACCCGTACAGGCTCGCGCTATACAGTAAACCACCAGTAAACTGCATCAGAAGTCAAAGCGTTTCATAAGCGTAACAGCTATCTTTGTGTTTAGTATGTTAGTAATATTCTAGTTTTACTTTTGAAAATGACAAACAGAAAATATAGTTTGTTTTGATACTATTGTTTTGCGTTCGACGCCTAAATCAGAATAAGTTTTTGAAATAAAATTAATGTAACGTCTTTGAAAACATAATGTCTTATAGTTTACATAGTTTCAAACAATCTCATTTTTTTTTTGTGAGTTGGGAGTAATAAGCGTAAACCATACTACCAAAAGTACATTCATAAAATTATAGTAGTTTTATTATCACGGTGTTATTTTAAAAAGAAAGTGTTCAAGAATTTCCCTATATAATATATATTATATTATTCGTGAAATGTGTTTCTTTCAATTCTTCTAAATTGGGTATATATTTTAAAAAACTTTACAATATAAAAAACCTAAAGAACATAGTTAGTCGCCACTCATTATCAGTTTCAAAAATTGTAATTAAGTAAAGATAAAAGCTAAGTTAAGATAAAAAAAAGATGCACTAGTATCCGCACGTTTCGTTCAAAAACGTGAACAGCGCGAGACCTCAGCCCTAATGAGACATGTTTCCATAAAACGAACATAAAGCACTAACGAACGGATGAAAAATGTGAATCGTGGAAATCTGTACCGCTCTCATCAATTAAATATTTCTGAGCCATTAGCGCAGGTGGTAAGCAACGTAATGGAAGCCATTAGGGCTGCCGGCCACCACTATACGCCGGCTGCCCCCGTCCGCTTTATATGTGTTAGTTAGCCGCATATAAATCCGTATAAAACTGATTTAGAATCCGACCATGAGTTTGTTAGTAATGTACTTATTATGTTACATTCAAAAGCTCTTTGCAAACTGTATATGGTTCCAAAGAGTCCAAGAAATGAAAGGAGGAAATATTAAGGAATATCAAAGCGCTTCGAGTTTTTTTCACTTCGGTACTGTACAAATATGTTATGATTAAAATGATATTTTCAATATGGAAAATTTATTCGATTATATATGCATATAATATTATTAAGAATTTCTTAGTGTTTTTATTAGCAGAAACAAAATGAATCACTCACTGTCCCCTGTTTGAACAAAGACTTTAGACCACCTCTTTGAGATCGTCGGTCGAATTTTAGGTTTAATTGGAACATGGTTCATTGCCGAAATAGGCAAGATGACAAAACGAACCCGTGTTGCATGAACCGCGCTAACACACGCTCTACCACCAATAACGCTATGAATAAAGGGTCACTGAAGATGTTACTAGAAAGTACTATGTGAACTCACTACCACGGAGCTTAAACGAAGAAAATAATAGTTGCATCAGAAGGTGACCGGGTATCAAACTTACCGCTCCTGAATAAACCTCGTGGTCAATTGCAAAAGCCCTCTGGCTTCTAAACAATTTTTTTTTTGGAACGAAGTCCTTATGGGCGTTGCGGAGGGGTACCCTAACCGAGAAAAAACATCCGTAACGTAAGATTTTTATTAGTAATGTACACAGTGTACGACTTAACTTTATAATAACGTACAAAGTAGTAATAATGCACACAGTGTACGACTTAACTTTGTAATAACGTACAAAAAATAACATATTTTTTTATCATTCATTAACCACGATCCCAGAGCGTTCGTTTGCGCAATACAGTAACTCTTATGCAAACAACTGTGAATGAAGTGTACCACAATAAGTTCGCACGTTACCGAATGACCCTGGGTTGTTGCGAAACCTCCAGTTTTATTTTCTTTATAGGTACCTCGAATAGATCTTATAATGAATATTTTTATAATAAGGGACTACGTTCCTATCCGTTGTCCCACGACACCACAGATCTTTTTTATTTTTTTTTACACAATCACTTAGCAGGGGATTGAGTGTGTTTATATTTTGTAATAGCGGTACTAGTTCTTGCGTATCTCGATAGATGTGATGAAAAGCC